ATTATCATACTGAAATTATGAAATATTTAATTAATACATTTAAAATATTATTGCGCACTGTAAAATATATTTCACGATATTGTCAAATATCTATAAATATTTCGTAACATAAATGATTTGTAAAAATTATACTCTGAATGTCCACCATTAAAGATTAAACATACTATATTTGATTTGTCCGCCATATTTGATTTGTTTGAAATATTTGATTTCAAACAAATCAAATATGGCGCACTTTTATTGTCTGCGCAGTATTCAAACGACGCGATGCGCAGAATCGAATCGTCAGCATTCCTTTCCGAAAATTATTTGTTAAGAATGTATATGAATTAAATATCAAATAAATAACGTCAATTTACTCAATAAAATAAAAAAATGAATGTATAAATATGTCCACCTTCATTGAAATAAGTATCAGATGTTATCATACTTGCATGGATTCATCGTTCATCAGCGTGGCGTCCCTCTATTGTTCCAAATTTTCTTCCGCAATCACCATTTATCTGTGCGAAAGAAAATCAAAACCATCAAATAAATGTATAGAACTAAGGAAATGTATAAGAATTGAACAATGATCAAGATCAAATGCCATTTTAGAAGCTCACAATATGAACTATGAGTGAGTATGACAATCTAAGAACACAATCAAAAAAAGAGATAATTTAAGTATAAATTGTAATATTCGATCAACTATTGATTTAAAACGTACGTTAATTAAATCAGAATCAGTAGTAGCGTGGATAAATGATGGAAATACAACTATGAACGATGTATTACACAGTAAATAAATGCCGCACAAGCCGATACGTCTTAACGCTACGAGCTTCAGTTGTACAATAACACTCCGCGCCAAACATACGTCACACCTAATTACGTGGGGTGGGGGGGGGGGCATGACTGTGCTCAACTAGAATTTGTAAATAATTCTACGAGAATGTTTTCAATTTTAGCATTAAATATATCACACATCATAATGAATATCTACTTATATGCTTATTTAATTTAATAAAGTAGAATTGATTGATTAATTATACAAAAATAACGTCTCTCTTGTACTTCATTGTGTTGATACACAAATAGAGATTTGAAACAAATCAAATATGGCGCACTTTTATTGTCTGCGCAGTAATGAAATAACGCGATGAGCAGAATATAAACAGTCAGCGTCCATTTCCGAAAATTATTTGTTAAGAATGAACATGAATTGAATATCAAATAAATGTCATCAATTACTCAATAAAATAAGAAAATAAATGTATAATTACGTCTACCTTTATTAAAATAAGTCAGATGTTGCCATAACTACATGGATTTATCGTTAATCATC